GTGGCTTCACTGCTCACAGCAACCTCCAACTCCTGGGCTCAAGCGAGTCTCCTGCCTCAGCCTCCCAAGTAGCTGGGACCACAGGCGCTCGCCACAACGCCCGGCTATTTTTTGGTTGCAGCCGTCATTGTTGTTTGGCGGGTCCGGGTTGGATTCGAACCTGCCACCTTAGGTCTATGTGGCTGGCGCCTTAGCCACTTGAGCCACAGGCGCCAAGCCAGACCATTTCTTTTTTATAGGAGCTAGTCTTGTTTAACAGATATTCTTTTGCAGCCCTCCAAAATGACTAGACTTTCTTTAGAAGCTTTGCCCGGGGCTGATTGTCAGGTGGGTGACCTGAGGCCTTTTCTCCCACCTAAGTCAGAAAGCAGGTCTGGGCCCGTCTCCTGTATTGGGAGTAAAGTCTTGTGGGCAGTGTAGGCACCTGGCCCAGCTTTCTCTGCAGAGGCCTGGCTGGGGGTAGGGTTGTCTGCCCACCTGCAGGCCTTTGTTGCACCCCGCTAATGTCACTTGCCCCACGGAAATGCTGGGCAGAGCATGACGGGAGCTGCCAAATCTCTCCTAAACCCTTAACTCCACCAGAGAAAGGGCTCCAGCTTGGAGGGCTCACCTCTGCTTTGGGTCAGCCCAGGGGCACAGGGCTGTTCTCTGAACAGCCAGTCCCTGAACGCATCCCCGGGCAGGTGGAGCGTGTGTCGCACCGGCTGCTGCAGCGGCAGTACGAGCTGCACCGGGAGCGCCTGCTGCAGCGCTGTGCCCGGCGCCCGGTGGAGCAGGTCCTGTACCACGGCACGACGGTGGCCGCGGTGCCCGACATCTGCGCACACGGCTTCAACCGCAGCTTCTGTGGCCGCAACGGTGAGGCCTGTCCAGACAGGAGGGGGCGGGGGCCTCTGTCCAGCCCGACAGCCCTGACCTCCTCCTGTCCCGCCTCCCAGGCACGCTCTACGGGCAGGGTGTTTACTTCGCGAAGCGCGCCTCCTTGTCGGTGCAGGACCGATACTCGCCACCCAACGCCGAAGGCCACAAGGCGGTGTTTGTGGCACGGGTGCTGACCGGCGACTACGCGCAGGGCCGCCGCGGTCTGAGGGCGCCCCCGCTGAGGCCCTCCGGCCACGCCCTACTTCGCTACGACAGCGCGGTGGACTGCCTTGGCCAGCCCAGCATCTTCGTCATCTTTCACGACACCCAGGCGCTGCCCACCCACCTCATCACCTGCGAGAACACGCCCCGGGCTTCCCCAGAGGACTCCTTGGGCCCCTTGGGCCACTCCCCAGCCACCTGACCGAAGAGGCCGCCCTCTGGTGTCCTCCTTCCTGGGAGGACGACCCTGCCTCCTGCTGCGCAGGTTGGGGGGGGTGGTGGTGGTGAAGGACCAGGCAGTGGCAACGAACAAGGAGGGCCGGGGCGGTCCCTGCCTGGTTGACCCAACCACCAGGGGTCAGCAGAGCCCAAGACCCGGCCACCACCGCCCGTCTCGGAGTGCGGCTCTGTTGTTTGAATAAACGTAGGTGAAGTCAGCTGGGGGCCTCTGCGGCTCGGAGAGAGACCTCTGCCTGGGCAGTGCGGCACCTTTTCGTGACAGGGGCGGGAGCGTCAGCCAGGGCGCCAGGCTGCAGGGCGGGGCCGCGCGCGCACTCGCGCGGTGCGCCTACACGTTGTCCTGGTGTCACGCACGCTCGCCCCAACGTCTCCTTGCCTACCGGCCCGCCCAGTGAGCGCGAGGAGCAGGTTGAGCCCGCGTGCTCGCGGGGGTCTGCGCTAGCCGAGTCACGCCGCAGGCGCCCGGGTCTCCTGGGCATTGCTCACTGACTGTCGGCGGGGCCCCCGCAGCGCGGCTCTCAGCTGGGGCTGGGTCGGGGCGGGGCTCGGGCTCGCCCCGCCTGCGGCGCCCCTGCGGCTCCTGGGTCCCAGCAGTCTGGCTGCGCCGCGGATTTGAGACGAGCCAAGCCACCAGGCACGTAAGAGCGGGGTTGGGACGAAGAGATGTGCAGCGTGCGGGAGCTGCCGAGTCGGGTGGGGACTCCGGCCTCAGGCGACCCGGAACTAGGGTCTGCGCTGCAGCCGACGTCGCCCTCCCTGCGCGACCAAGACTGCGGAACAGATCGGGCGGTGCCCCGGGTGTGGGCAGGAAAGGTGGTTGGGGAGGCGCGGCTGGCCTCGGCTCTGCGGTCTGGGGGCTGGGGCAAAGGCGGCCAGAGGAGGAGCTGGTGGGGGGCGGGGCGGCTGTCCCCCTGCTTGGTGCCCGCTGTCTCCTCAGCTCTTGGCCTGAGGGCGGAGGCACAGAGCCCACATTGTGCCCCCCCACGCCAGCCCACCCCCGCCAAGACAGAGCCCCATTCACCTCCCACACGCCAGTGCTTGTGGGGACTGGGAGCTGAGGAGTGTGCACCCGTGGGTTTGCGCGCGCTCTGGCTGCGCCCTCCCTGAGGGAAAACACTCGGCACAGGGTGGGCTGCAGGAGCAGGGCCCAGGCTCCCTCCTGGCCCTGCCGCAGCCGAGCTCCTGCGGCCCACGCCGCTGCGGCTTCAGCTATTTATAGGCTGTCACTGCAGAGTCTGCGGTGGGGCAGCGCGGGGCTGAGGTGCGGGAGGGGTTGTTAATGGGGAGTCCTAGAGACCGAGACGGAGGGGTCAGTGTCGGGGTTTGGGACTGGGGTCCTTCCCTTATGTCTTAGGGGAAGGGCGATGGTCAGTGTTTGTTGATGGGCTCTCTTGCCTGCTGCTTCGAGAATTAGAGAGGGAGCCCAGATTTGGGACGGAGGGAGGGGAGGCTAGTGTTTGGGTGAAGGTAATTACCCCGCTCCCATTGACAGAGTGGAGAGAGGAGTCAGTGTCTGGTGATGGGGTGAACCCCTGGTGGCAGGGTAGAGGGGTTGGGGTTTGGGTGACTAAGAGTGGCCGTCAGTGTTTGGGGATGAAGTGGCAAGAGCAGGCACTGTCTTGGTGAGAGACGAGAGAGCCGAGGTTTGTGTTTGGGGAGGTGTCATAGTGTGGGTATCTGAGGGGTGTGCTGGAGGAGAGAGGGTTGTCAGCATCTGGGCTGAGAGCCTAGAGTCTTTATGTAAATAAGGCAGGGTGTAGGCGGACTGTGGGTGTTAGTGTCCAGGTGATAGAGTGGACGAGATAGGGTCAGTGTCTAGGTGAGGAAGGGGGTGGGTCAGTGCACAGGGGGACCTCACGGGGCAGAGTTGTGACCCTTTCTTCTCCTTCAGGAGGCATGTCAGGTGAGGACTCCGAGGTGCAAGCAGTGGCTGAAGATGTCTCTAATGGCAGCAGTGGCTCGCCCAGCCCTGGGGACACCCTGCCCTGGAACCTCGGGAAAACACAGCGGAGCCGTCGAAGCGGGGGTGGCTCCGGGAGCAACGGGAGCGTCCTGGATCCTGCTGAGCGCGCAGTTATTCGCATCGCAGGTAACACCAGAGGGCCTAGTGTGTCCAACTCTTCAAGCACATCATGTTGTTTGGGCACCTGCAGTGTGCTGCAGGCAGGTGAGAAGCCTACAGGATCTGCGGGAGGCCGGCAGCGCAGTGCCACCTTTTGGTCACCCTGGGGAGCTGCAGCGGCCTGAAGTTGGGTTCCTTGAAGCAGCTTTTTTTTTTTGAGACAGAGCCTCAAGCTGTCGCCCTGGGTAGAGTACTGTGGCATCACAACTCACAGCAACCTCAAACTCCTGGGCTCAAGCTATTCTCTTGCCTCAGCCTCCCATGCAGCTGGGACTACAGGTGCCTGCCACAATGCCTGGCCATTTTTTGGTTGTAGCTATCATTGTTGTTTGGCAGGCCTGGGGGCTGGATGTGAACCTGCCAGCTCTGGTGTATGTGGCTGGCGCCTTAGCTGCTTGAGCTACAGGCACCACCATCACTGGCTTCTTGACAAGGGCTCAGAGCCCAGCTGCCACAATAACTTTCTTGGGCTTCATCCCAACAGGCCCCTACTCTTGGCTGCCACCAAAGAGGGTAGGTGTGAATGTATAGGAGCGAGACAGGATTGGGGTGCCTGGTTGTCCAGAGCCCCAGCCTCTCCCTGAGCCAGGGTTTAGTTTTGCCCTCCGGTAGCTGCCAGAGTGGGGACAAGGGTTGGGAAGGCCTGGCAAGAGGCGCTGGGGGAGGGGTAGGCAGCTGGAGGGTGGCCCGCCTTTGTAGGAGTAGGTGACCTAGGGCTAGGGCCACAGGGCAAGATGTACCCATAAAGGGGGAACCAGTGGAGGATCTCTAGGTTCAGGTGTTAGAATATTTGCTAGTACCTTTAGAGAATGAGGGGAGCCCTGCAGGAACTGGGAGGGTGGACTTGTCAGGAGCTGTCTGGGAGGGCAGCTGCTGAGCTTGAGGAACTCTGTTGGTGGGAATACGAGGCTTATAGAAATGGAGAGCTGCAGAAAAGAGTGTAGGGAAAGCTGCTGCTGCCCTGCACCCAGTGTCATAGGGTGAGCCCTTCTGGGCTCTTCATGTCACCTACCAATTTTAAGGAATGAGGTCATCTTTTTCCTTTTGAAAGGGAATCACAATCATGAATGTCCTTTCTCACCCCAGTCTTCTTCAGCATCACCTTTAAAGATGTAGGGGGCATTGGCAGAGTGGTGTGCTATGTTCTTCATAGGATCAGTTCCTAAAAGTGGGACTCCTGGTCACAGGGCCCCTCAGCATTTGAGGTTAGAGAGGTATTGCCAGGGCCCAAAGGAAGACATTTGCTGTCACTGGGATAAGGAGTTTTGCCAATCTAATGGGTGGGAAATAATTCTTTTGTTGTTTTTCATTTTATTTTTTTTATTCATTTTTTTTTTTTGGAGACTTTGTCGCCCTTGGTGTGAGCGCCATGGCATCACAGCTCCCAGCAACCTCAAACTCTTGGGCTCAAGTGCTTCTCTTGCCTCAGCTTCCCAAGTAGCTGGGACTACAGACACCCACC